CTATAAAAATGTTTCCCCTATATGTAACTAGCAGTGGTGCACCGCTGAAATATGACCGCTACTGCTGATTTTTTTTTTCCGTCTTAGCGCTTTAACCATTATTATTTGGCGCTACTGACACTTCATATCCAGGTCAATTCACACACTTGTGAGTAAAGTAACGCATATAAGAGGAGAGGGCTCCCTCTTACCTCTTCATAAATTTAAGTCTTATTATTTTGAGCGACGTACGCTTCATATAATAACATAACAATATACTATTTATTGTGTAATTCCATCGTGTCATTTCTGTCTCTACGTGGTTATGCGTTAACAATTCTCCTCTGCTCTCTGTATCGCGCACGGCGGAGTTCCGACACACACAGGTGAGCAAGCTAGAGCCCGGCGCAGTTTGTTACCTGACATAGTTATTTTTATGGACAGTGTGTAAATAACCATCAACAGACTGCTGTTATGCACAGACAAAGACCCTGCTCGCACAGCAGCGCAGCACGGCACTGTTGGAGCGGAGCCAGTTTTGCGCTCAGGCGTTGTCATGTAAATAAAAACTAGGGATGTCCCAATCCGATATTTGGATCGGTATCGGCCACCGATACTAGCAAAAAACGGGCATCGGCATTGGATCGGACTGCATGGAAAAATGCTGATCCAAAAACTCCGATCCAGTTTTTCAGGGAATCTGCTCCAGGTTTTCCGGCCAGCCCAGCGCTCCGCGAGTCAAGCAGTCCATTCCAGTTATCCACTCCAGCTCTTACTATCAGTCCACTAGGCCAGCATGCAGACGGCAGACACACACACACACGGAGGATAGGAAGAGTAGCGGTCAACTTAGTTAACTGACTATTTGTTTTCTGCTCTGGTTTTTTGAGAGTGATATTTTTATTTGGTTTACACTCTTACTGTTTTAAGTAAAGAGCACTGATGGCATTGTTTTGGGCACAATTAGTGAAATTGGAGCCATGGATGGACTACAAAAACACTACTAAAATGACTGAAAAGGAAAGGCTGCATTGTTTGTTAAATGCCAACAATGTCTTGTGGTGTTAATCTTTTTTTTATTTATTAGGGGAGCAAAGCACAAGTGTGTGGAGTCTTGCTGCTATTTTAATTCCATTGTTAGACATTTTAAAGATTTCTTGTGTTGATCTATTTTCTATTTATTAAGGGGCCAAAGCAAACCAGCTATATTTTTTATTTAATGTTAATGTTCAAATTTAAAATTTGTTTATTTAACCCTGTTAACAATAAACAGGTCAGTTTCTCATACCAACTGTTGTGGATCATTCTAACTAACCCGATTAAGTAGTTGTTCTTGTTAGAGTAATATTGCTTGATCAAACCTTTTCTAACATGACTGACAACAAAATAAGTGAATATGTATAATACGCGCTTGGATCGGATCGGTATCGGCCAAAACTCAAGGCTGTAATATCGGTATCGGATCGGAAGTGAAAAAGCTGGATCGGGACATCCCTAATAACAACTTCCAGCACTTAAATAGGTCATAGCACAAAACAGCAGCATGCCAAGTGACTTTTTACTTTTATGTTCAATAAAAGTGTATTTTCCTAAATCTTGAGACACCTCATATGTAAGCTAGACAGACATTTCACCTGCTCATTACTGTGCACAAATGTACTCTATCCTACTTACTCCTAAAGAGCCCTTCTGGTGCCAGTAGATACATAGAAACATCCCAGCAGGCTGTGCTTTGCAAGCATACAAAAAAGTTTCACGCATGTGAAATTTTTTTTTCATGCGTGTGCTTCACCTCTGCTGCTACAACTCCATCCTAGGGGAAACACTGCCGTGTGCGTTTTGTGCAACAGGTGGATGCACCCCCCACACTGTTCGTAGTGTACAACAAAACGGATGACATTAAGGCAAAAGAAGCCAGTGGAGAATACAAGCTTGTGGATAACACATCGTCAAGGGCTAAGTCGGACGTTTGGGAGAAGTTTGGTGTCATAAGAGAGGATGAGAACAATATATTCAATGGCTTTGCTGCACGCAAAAAGTGCCTAAAAGTTCTTGCTTTTGATAGTCGCAAGATAGGCACATTGTCACTGAGGAAACATGTTGACTCCTGCAGGAGCACGGAGTTGCAACAATTGACAGATGCTTTGCCAGAAACACAACTTTTTGACCACCAAAATGAGAGAACAAGGAGGCCATAACACAGTCTGTGTGCCGGGACATTAGATCATTCGAGACTGTGTGGCGATGGATTTAGTGAACTGGTGCAGGGCTTAATTGACATTGGGGCACGAGCAGGTTGTGTGGACGTTAAGCAGCTCCTGCCAGATCCCACAACTGTCTCCCGCAGGCGCACAAAATATGCGGAGGATGTCAGACAAAACATAATTCAGGAGCTAAGGATGCAGCTGACAGACAGTAATGGCGCAGTGACGCTGGTTACCTTTGTGTGATGTTGCACCATGTCAACAACAAGTGGGAGCTGACGGAGCGAGTGCTTTGCACATCTGACTGGGACAGCAAGTTGAGTTAAACAGCAGATAACATCAGACCCGCAGTCATACAAGCACTTCGTGAATACAGTCTCGATGAGTTCTTCTCCAAACTAGTGTATGTGACTGACAGAGGTGCAAACATTGTTGCAGCCCTGTTCACTGTTTCAAGGCTAAATTGCGTAGCACACATCTTGAACACATTGTTGCGTACCATACTTGAATAACTTGCTGAAGGTCAGTGTTTCCCATACATTGACGAGACTATGGTGGCCCGCCATAGTCTAATTTGCCCCGCCGTAGCTGCTGGTGCCTCTGGAGTCCCGCGAACATCAAGGTGTAGGATCCTCCAGAGGCTTGCAGTTATGCATAATCCTTCTATTCGGCCACCCCTAACCAATGCTCACAAGCAGAAATGGCTGCAGTGGGCCCAGAAATACATGAAAACTAATTTTCAAACAGTCTTGTTCACTGATGAGTGCCGTGCAACCCTGGACGGTCCAGATGGATGGAGTAGTGGATGGTTGGTGGATGGCCACCATGTCCAAACAAGGCTGCAACGTCAGCAAGGAGGTGGCGGAGTCATGTTTTGGGCTGGAATCATGGGGAGAGAGCTGGTCGGCCCCTTTAGGGTCCCTGAAGGTGTGAAAATGACCTCTGCAAAGTATGTTGAGTTTCTAACTGACCACTTTCTTCCATGGTACAAAAAGAAGAACCGTGCTTTCCAAAACAAAATCATCTACATGCACGACAATGCACCATCTCATGCTGCAAGGGATACCTCTGCATCATTGGCTGCTATGGGCATAAAAGGAGAGAAACTCATGGTGTGGCCCCCATCCTCCCCTGACCTCAACCCTATTGAGAACCTTTGGAGCATCCTCAAGCAAAAGATCTATGAGGGTGGGAGGCAGTTCACATCCAAACAGCAGCTCTGGGAGGCTATTCTGACATCCTGCAAAGAAATTCAAGCAGAAACTCTCCAAAAACTCACAAGTTCAATGGATGCAAGAATTGTGAAGCTGCTATCAAATAAGGGGTCCTATGTTAAAATGTAACTTGACCTGTTTAGATGTTTTTAATTGAAATAGCTTTTGATTTCAGTAAGTATGACCTCCTAATGCTGCAAATTCAACACATGACTATTTTCAGTTCTTTACAACCTAGAAAATGTCTTGAAACTCTGTTGTGCATAGTAATTTGGAACAGTGCATTTTAAGTTTTTTTATTTTTGAAAAAAATACTGTTTTCATTGGGAGGTTTGTTCAATAACATTTGAATTCAACTTTAACAGTTGATGACTTGAAAATTATGCTGACTGTCATTTGCATCGACTGTTTCGGAAAATCAGAGAAAAATATCATTTGCATAATAATTTGGAACGCGGTGTAAATTTAATTTTTTTTTTGTTTGCCTTTCTTCTTAAAATAGCATTGATCTTTTGAGTTAATTTTATATTATATTCAAGAACTCCAGGAGAAACGCGAAAGCCCCCTGCCATCTGCCCCGAACGTGCCGGGTGCACCAGAGAAGAGACAGCCTACATTGAGTTCAACCTGGCAGTGATTGAGTGGAATGTTTTTGCCATCCCGGCATGGAGCACAGCCAGTAACAGAGACTTTTCCTTTGCTTGATTTGTTATTCAAGAACGGAGAACCCAAACAGATGAGAGGGTGTATCATCTCTATGCAACACCTCTCTCTAGTTCCATTCTAATTTCCAGCTTTTCAAACTTATTTTGTGGCTGAATATAATTTGTAACTTTTTGAAGTATGAATAAGGGTAGTGATTGTTGCATTTGTAGTAGTGACGAAACGGTGAAAAACAGAGAGAAAACCGGCATCAGATGGACTGTATTCATGATCACTATACCACAATAATATAAATAACCCTGAACTCAACTGGGCTTAACAGGTCAGGTGGGGCCAACTGGTCTGTGGAAGCCAAAATCAGAAGTACCACCTTTCAGAGCTGCAACAATTACACTAACATTCCTTGCTGATATGCACACATTGTCAAATTTCACTGAGATGCAGTGACAGCTCACTGTTTTTGATGGATGTTTTTCTTTACCTTGCATTTAGTTATCTTAAACTCAGTGGAACCTGTTAATATCTTTTATTTTGTGGTGATGACAGGCTTGCTGTGTTTATGTAGGACAGATTGCTGTTTGGATTCACGTTTCAGAGCAGAAACTGATCATTCTCAAATCTAGGTATACACAGAAGGTGAGCCAAACAGCGGTTTCATGTATTCCGTGTGGCACGGTTTATCAAAATTCCAAGGTCCCTTTCCTCTGAACAGGTTTCCTCACACAGTTCAGTCATCTCTTAAAGACAGTGCTTCATCTGTCAGTTATGAGGCTTTCCAGCAGTCTAGTTCTGCAGTGAAAAGAATATACCCTTGGTCTAAATACTTTTATATTTTCCTTAAGCTTCCATGAGTAGACAGAAAAACTGTACAAATTGGAATATGAGTAATCTTTTTCAGTGGATAAATGTGTAAGCGTGTTGTGTGTGCCTCTTCTCTCAGCGGCATCTGGTTACGGGACACAGAGCATTCGACTGGGCAAAGATGCGATCAAAGACTTTGACTGCTGCTGCCTATCCCTGCAACCCTGTCAGGATCCTGTGGTGACGTACGTCTGTTTCTCCAACGTACACACACACACACACACGCACGCACGCATACATTCAAACACACAAATTTGGGGTGCATTCCAAATCGCAAATCTTCTTAGTTTTAGTATGCATTGCAGCTGCCCTTAAAACGTACGCACTGTTGAATGCAGTACGCACACAATCAGCACATACTGGTTTGTAATATCATTATACCCTGAAATTTGACACTCTTGTTCATATATTTGTTATCTTGGAGATAACACAAAATGCATTTCACTAAGTTCGCCAGAATCCGTAATCAACCCAGAGGGCAATGCTGTTGTTACTTTGTAATGTTTGTAGTTAAAACTGCATACATTGTAGATTCTAACATATTCACCACGTTAAAATGACATATGCATTTCTCTGTCATTGTGATTTTCATAGTTTTTGCCCTTTTGTTGTTTGTAATCTCTATGATTATTTTGTTACTTTAAACCGTTAAATTCCTATGATAAATTTTTGACTGGTCATCAGTCACTTGAATGCACTGTCATCCGTCATTACGGCTTCTAAGAGCTGTCATTCAGCGGTCAACGAGCTGTCAAGCTGTCATCTGTCTGCTGCTCAGTCGATGTGATGTATCTGCCGCTGTGCAGAGGACTATGGGTCAGAATTGCCAGAAAAGCCTGCTGGCTTATAGACTGCAAAATGCAACTGGATGCAGTAGAACATCCTGGTATGGAGTTTGGGTATTGGAATGCACATATACTGTATGACCCTAACATGTGAGCACATATGTAAACATTTTTTGCATTGTTTCTGTTGCTGTTCTTAGACCAGATGGATTCTTGTATGAAAAACAAGCCATTCTTGAATACATTTTGCACCAGAAGACAGAAATTGCCAAAAAAATTAAGGTAAGTGCTGAACTGTCTCAAACTATGTCTACTACACCGTCAAAAGACTTGTATGAACACTAGCTTTTTCAGGCTATTTTTGTAAAAAAACGCTGTCTTAACACCTGAAACAACAGAGAAATCTCTTCTTCTGCTGCTGCTTCTTTTGCTTCTGCTGCTGCTTCTTCTGCTTCTGCTTCGACATCTCCTTCTTTGCCCTCTCATCACTTGGCAAATTACAAAACTGCATCATAGCCAGCAAAAGGCAAAAAGTGGGACCTACAGTACAGCCTGGCTGACCAAATCATGATTTTATGGTCGAGGCATGTCTGACACAATTAACATAGTGGTGCACTGCATGATTTATAGGAAAGGTCAGAGACAACTGAAAGTTGTCTTATTAAAAATAATGAGAACAAAAACAGTATGGCTGAGCCCTAATTAAGTAGCCAGCTAAATGAGTGGTCGACTGCTTAGCTGGTAGCCAGCGCTTATGGAGAGCTCTGGGGCCAGATGTATAAACCCTGCATATGCATTTTTCCACTGATGGTGTTCCTATTTTTGGAGGCTGCACAGCATTCTGTAAAATGTCAAACAAAGTCACATTTATAAACTTCATTTTAAATTAGTTATAAAGTATCAATCTGGTTATTTACATTTGAGCCTTCATCCCCCTGGTAATGATCGTTCAAATTGTTTATGAATTGCAAAGCACTTTGTAAAGTCTGTTCCAGCCTGAGCACTGACTGAATCATCAATCAACATGTGATGAATTAGAGGTGCAGACGCTACAAATACCCAGAGCCACGCATAATGAGAGCTGTTCTAATTGGTGACATTAATCTTTTTATGCCTCTGTGCCGGTAATAGCCGTGGCCAGAGGCATTATGCTTTCGGGTTGTACGTCTGTCCCATTCTTGTGAATGCAATATCTCAAGAACACGGGAATTTCTTCAAATTTGGCACAAACGTCCACTTGGACTCAATTAGTCATTTGTTTTTTTGTGCTCATAAGTCAAAGGTCTAGGTCACTGTGACCTTGTCTGTCTCATTCTTGTGAACGTGATATCTCAAGAACACTGAGGGAATTTCTTCAAACTTGGCACAAATATTCACTTGGACTGAAGAATAAACTGAATGGAATTTGATGGTTAAAGGTTGAGGTCTCTGTGACTTCACAAAACATGTTTTTAGCCGTATCTCGAGAATTTGTACGCTATGTATGTGTATGTGGCTCTATTTACCTTTTAACATCATGGGTTGCAGAGAAAGTTTAATGTGACTGAAAGTCCTTAACTTTCCTTGCACACAACCACTGATCATTACTGGGTAAGTTTTTGTCATTGCTTTACCAAAGCCATGTCAACCCCCCACACACACTGACACGTCAAGCTCATGTTGTAAGATTTACACATTCTGGAGGCCATTTTGGAAAAGCTGAATTTTTGACTGCCCTTTATGAGCCACAGTTAACTTCCATCACTGAGTCTGTATTTATGATATGTTGATGGTTCTGTTGTTTGTGTCCCTGAAACATATGTCAATGAGTGAAATCTGTGAGTGGATTTTAGGTTACAAAAATTGTTCTTGTCATTTTGCACACAGGAAGTTGTTTAATTTTTGCTTCATCTTTCTCTAAAATATAGAAGAATTAAAGAATTTTCTGTTCTTGTGTAAAGTTGAGAGTACCTAGTGTGTTGTCCTCCTCTTTAGGCGTATGAGAAGCAGAAGCAGACGCTGAAGAGCAACAGCCAACTTGAGTCCAAGTCAGAGGAAAGAGAACGGGTGGAGAGGTTTAAAAGCAGGGAGAACAGCATTGTGTCCAAACCCATCAACCCATTCACATCTGGTACGTGTGTGTACTGCATACTGTACACTGTCTCACTGAACTGTGTGGACAATGTCCACATTAAGTTGGGTAGGTTTGTAAAAGCAGTTCCTATGTTAAAAAAAGACACAGCAGTCCATCCAAATTAGCAACATGTCAGATCATAATTTCATAAACTGCAACACCTGAACTGTGCATCAGAGTCAACATCTGTTTCCTCTGCTGACTGTCTGTTTTGCCCCTGGGATCACCTGTGTTATGTTTTAATGCAGCTGAACTCACACTAATGTTTTTGTCCTTTTCATTTTTTTTTTGTTATAACAACAACAACCGCAATGTATAACTAAAGCCCTATTCAGACGGGATTAGTTTTACATAAGTACGTGGGGTAAAGTAATAATTACCAGAGATTTTAGTCCTGTCCGAATGTGCCATGTCAGTAATCATTACCGCACGATGTCAGTAAAAATTACCGCGAGTTATACCTTCTGTAAAAGGGTCCCGGAAAATTACCTCAGGTAATACTAATCCTGTGCGAATAGACCAGCAGTAAATATGTATGTTAGGGCTGTCAAAAAAAATCAAAGTTTGAAATATATTCGAATATATATATTTTTTATACAGTGGTGTGAAAGTGTTTGTCCCCTTCCTGATTTCTTACTTTTTTGCATGTTTTCCACACTTAAATGTTTCAGATCATCAAACAAATTTAAACATTAGTCAAAGATAACACAAGTAAACACAAAATGCAGTTTTTAAATGAAGGGTTTTATTAATGAGGAAGAAAAAAATCCAAAGCTACATGGCCCTGTGTGAAAAAGTGTTTGCCCCCCAGCTCCTGTTAAAACATAACTGTGGTTGATCACACCTAAGTTCAATTTCTGTAGCCACACCCAGGCCTGATTACGGCACACCTGTTCCCAATCTAGAAATCATTTAAATAGGACCTACCTGACAAAGTGAAGTAGACCAAAAGATCCTCAAAAGTTACAGACATCATGCCGGATCCAAAGAAATTCAGGAACAAATGAGAAAAAAAGTAATTGAAATCTATCAGTCTGGAAAAGGTTATAAAGCCATTTCTAAAGCTTTGGGACTCCAGCGAACCACAGTGAGAGCCATTATCCACAAATGGCGAAAACAGTGGTGAACTTTCCCAGGAGTGGCCGGCCGACCAAAATTACCCCAAGAGCGCAGCGACGACTCATCCAAGAGTTGACAAAACACCCCACAACAACATCTAAAGAACTGCAGGCATCACTTGCCTCAGTTAAGGTCAGTGTTCATGACTCCACCATAAGAAAGAGACTGGGCAAAAATGGCCTGCATGGCAGAGTTCCAAGACGAAAACCACTGCTAAGCAAAAAGAACATTAAGGCTCATCTCATTTTTGCCAGAAAACATCTTGATGATCCCCAAGACTTTTGGGAAAATATTCTGTGGACTGATGAGACAAAACTTTTTGGAAGGTCTGTGTCCCATTACATCTGGCGTAAAAGTAACACCGCATTTCAGAAAACGAACATCATACCAACAGTAAAATATGGTGGTGGCAGTGTGATGGTCTGGGGCTGTTTTGCTGCTTCAGGACCTGGAAGACTCGCTGTGATAAATGGAAGCATGAATTCTGCTGTCTACCAAAAAATCCTGAAGGAGAATGTCCGGCCATCTGTTCGTGACCTCAAGCTGAAGCGAACTTGGGTTCTACAGCAGGACAATGATCCAAAACACACCAGCAAGTCCACCTCTGAATGGCTGAAGAAAAACAAAATGAAGACTTTGGAGTGGCCTAGTCAAAGTCCTGACCTGAATCCTACTGAGATGCTGTGGCATGACCTTAAAAAGGCAGTTCATGCTCGAAAACCCTCCAATGTGGCTGAATTACAACAATTCTTCAAAGATGAGTGGGCCAAAATTCCTCCACAGCGTTGTAAAAGACTCATTGCAAGTTATCACAAACGCTTGATTGCAGTAGTTGCTGCTAAGGGTGGCCCAACCAGTTATTAGGTTTAGGGGGCAAACACTTTTTCACACAGGGCCATGTAGCTTTGGATTTCTTTCTTACTGTAACTAAATTATTATCTCAATCGCCATCTTTTATAAACAAAGAAAATCAGATATGTCTAATAAATTTCTACGAAAGGGCAAATTTGAAGTTGTTGAGGAGACTCTTCCTCAGCCAAAGAGGGCAAATGGGCTGCTGCTTGGTCAACTTAAGCATGTACATTTGCATGTCCCTGGCAGGAGGCAAAACTGAAGCACATCATTTACACAGATAGAATGAAACAACACATTGTAGGAGAGAGAGAGAGACACAAGGATAGGCTGACTCTCCTGGAGGACAGAGATCCAGATCCAAGACATCTGTAATGAAACACCAATAGCCAGGAGAGAAACAGAAAAGGAGAAAGAGAGAAAAGGTCCCAGGACGCCTGACAGATAATTAAAGAATAAGAATTTAATTAAAGGACCCTTCATTTAAAAACTGCATTTTGTGTTTACTTGTGTTATCTTTGACTAATGTTTAAATTTGTTTGATCTGAAACATTTAAGTGCGGGAAACATGCAAAAAAGTAAGAAATCAGGAAGGGGCAAACACTTTTTCACACCACTGTAAGTACGAACCTAAATTTGATAATTCGAATATCATTAATAATTAATTAATACTATCAATAACGTTGTATATCACGGCGAATCCCGTGCGCGCGGAGATGGCTCCCGCACAAGACGGGCCAGAGAGGGACGCAGCGATGGAGGGAGAGGCGCCGAAGGAGGAGCCCGCTGCGCCAACACCACCCACTGCGCTGTCTGCGATGTGTGACCTGTTCGGGGAGACATACAGGGAGAGTGTTGCACCTGCTGTCTCCCTGCCTACCCTTTTTGAAGAAGAGATGAAACGTTACCAGAACAAGACACCACTACGAGCTGACCAGGATCCACTCTTGTGGTGGGAAACTACGCACTGAAGTATCCAAACATTGCTCAGATAGCGAGGCAGAAGTTGCTCATACCTGGCACTTCAGTGAGGTCAGAACGGGTGTTTTCATCCAAGTGTCATGTTCATATTGCGTCAGCAATAAGCATCTTATTTTTTGTGGGGTTTTTTTGTAAAAAAATAAATTTAAAAAATTAATTCGAAAATATTCGAGCTCAATTTCATGGTGCTTTTGACAGCCTTAATGTGTCTAGATATTTAGTCATATCCTGTTTACAAGTGGTTTTTCGTGGATTTTCAAGCATGGAGGCTCTTGAAGAAGCACTCTGTTTTGCACTTAACAGTCGGACAAGTCCGTGTGAAACCTCAGGTACTGTGGGCCTACGACAAACACGATTCAAGTGTGTTCGAGTGTGGTACGCACAGGAAGCAACGTCATACGCACATGACGACAGGAGGGGACGACGGTGCGTGAATGGATTTAACCCTCCCACTTGTGGTAGTTTTACTGATATTTCTTATCCTGTGCGAATTGGCCATTAATATTACCGACGTCCTGTGGTAAAGTGACATTACCCCACGTGCCCATGTAAAACTAATCCTGTCCGAATAGTGCTTAAGTAGAACATTTCATCGTAGTCTATAAATGCTACCTGATAACAGGAGCTCCTGTTCTGCTTCCTGCACTCACAGCTCAGTTTTCCTTATCAACTCAAAAATACCAGGCGCCTTAAGAGCAAAAATGTGAGGCACCTAACAATGCAAAAACAGCAAGCAAGAAGCTTCACTCTCATTCAAACAATTACAATATCTTTATTTCTATTAAAAACAATTACAAAAAGTCGCTTCCAGCTGCTCAAACGCATATTTTGTGATCGGGGCCTTAGGCTACTGGAGTCCATGTCCGGCATTTGTTGGACCAAAACTGTAGTTCCTTTCTTGTGTGAAAAGATGCACTGACCACCAACTTTCCTTGCACACACGTCTTCTTAGTAGAAGTCAGTTTAAAATATCTTCCTCTTCAGTTAACTCACTCACAAAATCCTTCCATTTTTAAAATGCAGAAGGATGCAAAGTAGCATAAATATATATGTGTATATCTATATGTGTATGTGTGTGTGTGTGTGT